TCAAGTTGCTCTATGTTGGGAAATAATGTAATATATTTGATAAGTGTTATTTGAAGGGATGTTATGGTGATACAGAATCATGATGAGGGAGAAACTAATAGTGACCTGAGGTTCTAGAAAAATTTAATAAAAAAGAGAAAAGGGGAGCATGGAATTAGGTTTTCAAAACTAATTATTGAAAGTTTTATGAGCACGTATTATGTTACAGGTGTATGGTAAGCTTTATTTAGTCCACTCTTTCAAGTAGCCCTGTGAGCTAAGTAGTCTTCATTTCTTTTAAACATACACTAATAAGACAAAGCCATTTATGCAGAAAGATGCAGAGCCAGTGTTAGCACAGGGAATATAAATATTAATAAAGCAGATTTTCTTTGCTCAAGTTGCTCTATGTTGGGAAATAATGTAATATATTTGATAAGTGTTATTTGAAGGGATGTTATGGTGATACAGAATCATGATGAGGGAGAAACTAACAGTGACCTGAGGTTCTAGAAAAATTTAATAAAAGAGAGAAAAAAAGAGCATGGAATTAGGTTTTCGATTGATTTTTTACAGAGAGGAAGAGAGAGGGATAGAGAGTTAGAAACATCAATGAGAGAGAAACATCAATCAGCTGCCTCCTGCACACCCCCTACCGGGGATGTGCCCACAACCAAGGTACATGCCCTTGACTGGAATCGAACCTGGGACCTTTCAGTTCGCAGGCTGACACTCTATCCACTGAGCCAAACCGGTTAGGGCTATGCTAATTCTTGTCTACTGTGCTCTCACATACAGTGGCATTTGAGCTGAAATTCTTTCTTATCTTCATAGCTCTTCTTGCTCTCTATATGTTTACACCTTGAATAGTGTCCCCCAAATATTCATGTCCACCAAGATCCTCAGAATATGACCTTATTTGGAAATATGCTTTTTGAAGTTCTAGTGGAGATAAGGCCATATTGAATTAGGGTGAAATCACACATCACAGATACTTAAGAATCCTATGAAGATACATTAGGATTTTAATGAATTTCTACCATATTTTTTAAGAGTAATTGGAAAAAATAGTTAAAATTTATAATGTTCCTCTGTCTTACATTAGTTAACAAAAAGATGCCCTTCATGGTGACATAGAACAATGTTTTAAGTCAACCACAAACTGCACCTCCATTGAGATTTTCTTCATACATTGTTCTTACAATGTCCTTAATCTTCCATGAAAAAGTAGATATGAGTTAACCTACTTAATCTACAGAGCTCCAGTTTTTAAGGCAGCAACAATCACCCCCATAAGTTTTACATATATACTAGGAATAAAAACATAGTAACATCAACTATGAGATATGAGAGTTGAATCACATTAATATTTTCTTCTCAAAATATCTCAAATACTATCAATATAAAATAGAATACACTGTAAGTAATTATACACATCCAAACCTCAATCCTCTTGATATTTTGAAGCACACTAAAAAGAAATTATCTGGCCATTACTGAGTAGCTCAGTTGCTTAGAATATTGTCTTGACATGCCAAGGTTGTGAGCTCAGTCCCAGGTCAAGGCACATACAAGAATCAACCAATGAATGCATCAATTAGTGGAACAACAAAATGATGTTTCTCTTTCTCCAAAATCAACAAACAAAAAAGGTAATTTTCTCAGTTTTTATACTTTGGATTCTTCTTTGTAATAAGTATTCTGATTTTGAGTAATATCTGAAAACTATTATTGATTAAATTTCCACTATGAATTCTATGATACTTTAAACTTATTTTCAGTTACATTGCAATTTTTTTTTTTACATCTTTAAAGTCACTTTCAAGCATAAATTCTTTGGCTTTAGTGAAGTGTATATTTTGAACAAAAGTCTTTTCTTCTATATTACAAATGTAGTATTTCTTCCCAGTGCACATTCCCTGACATTGAGTGGGGCTGCAGATCCATCTATACGGTTTCCAACACTCTTTAGTTTCAAGGTTTTTCCTACTCTGAATTCTCATGTGTTGTTTAAGCTGTGAAAGCTGAATAAAGGCTTTGCCACACTAGTTACATTTTCATTGTTTCTGTCTGGTATGAATTCTCTGATATTGAGCAAGTTTTGTGTACTGGGTAAGCTTTACCACATTCTTTATGTTTGTTAAGCTTTGATCCAGTATGAATTATCAGATGTTGAGTAAGATATGAATGCAGAATAAAGACTTTGCCACATATGATACATCTGTAAAGATTCTCTTCAATATAAACTCTCTGATGTTGAATGAAGCTTGTACAATAGTTAAAAGTTTTGCACATCCTTTATATTTTTACTGTTTCTCTCTAGCATGAATTCCCAGATATTGAATAAGTTTTGAGAACAGGTTAAAAGCTTTGCCACATACTCTACTTTTGAAAAGCTTCACTCCAGTATGATTTCTCAGATGTTCAGTAAGGCTTGAACACCAATTATAGGCTTTATTACATTCCTCACATCTGTAAGGTTAGTCATCAGTATGAATTTTCAGATGTTGAGCAAGATATTAATGCTGCTTAAAGGCTTTGTCACATTGTCTACATTTGAAAGTCTTCTGCCCACTATGAGTTCCCTGAAGGTGAGTAAGCTTTGAGTGCTCATTTAAGGCTTTGCCATATCATACTTGTAAGGTTTCTCTCTAGTATGAATAGTGTGAATGTAGAATAAGACATGGATGTTATTTAAAGGCTTGGCCACAGGCTTTGCATTTGTAAGGTTTCTCTTCAGTATGCATTATCTAATGTAGTAGTAAAACCTGAAGGCCAATTAAATGTTTTACCACATTTTTTACATTTGTAAGGTTTTTCTCAGTATGGATTTTCTTATTTCTATTTAGATTGAATATTAGATTTTAGACTCTCCCACATGGATTACACTTATAAGCTTCCTTCCCAGTATGAATATTCTTTTGTTCAGTATGACTTGATGATTGATGAAAAGCTTTTTATCACATTTACTTCATTTGTTTGTCTATTCCAAAATATGAATAATTTGGTGTATATTGTAATTTGATTTTTTGGTCTAAGAATTTTCCACATTATAATAGTTCTCTGGATGCTGAGTTCTCTGATGTTTATTAGGATTTAGCTGATGGTTAAAGTTTTCCCAATGTTCATTGCATTGATAACTTCTGTCTCAATTATATGCACTCAGTATTATTTTATGAAATGAATCTTCTATTCCTGGTTTTTGCAACAAGACCTGGTTGTTCTCAGAGGACATAGCTGGGTGGATGGATATGGTCTTTTTTCCCTTTACATCCCAGGGCTCCTTCATTGGCTCCAAAAAGGTGACCACAACCGGCTTAAAGACAGCAAGAATCAGGAGATCAGGTTCCTGTAATTCTTCAAAATCACACCCATGTACAATTTTCACTGAGCTGGGTCCAGGCATCCCTACTCCTCCTAAAAGAAATCCATAGCCACATCCCTGAGGGTCAACAGTCCCTGAGAAGCAGCCATGTCATTCTGTTCCTGGTCCTGCTCCTGTTTCTGGTTGTTTTCTCAGGTGGTGTGATGTTGAGGAGTTATTTCTGCATCATGAGAACATGTCTTCAAAGGCATCAGCACAACCCATTCATCTGCTTCCATCAAACTCACAGGCAGAAGGACTTGGAAATGCTGAAAGGGCCACCCTCTCCTGTCCTTTGTTACAGGAGAGTCGGGAACAATGAGCTTCCACACGGAGATCAAGCTGTGAGTTTTTTCTCTCCTGTCTTCATGCGCTCTCTCCTCTCATAGATGACCATAAACTCTACAGAAATTTTAATGCCCATAGTGACCCTCAGGCTTCATGTATGTAGGAATGTGGACTGATACTCTCAGGTTTAAACCAGAAAGAATGACACCAGGAAGGCCAGCATGATCATTGAGATTCCATAGCCACTTCTGGGTCTGCAAGAAACTCCATATTTTTAATACTTCAGATTTTTCTGCTCTATTAAGGTCTGTATCTCTCTGTGTATGTTGCATACAATGATAAATAGCAGATCAAGAATTTTATTAGAATGTTGTTAGGATGGAGAAGTAACTGATAATAGGATTGAAGTAGAAGGATTTTTCTATTTTAGTTATGTGAGTTACCAGATTAAGCTGAATGCATGAAGGATTTATGGGTTTTATTCATTTTCACAGTTTTCTTGAAATGTGGATTCTGAGCTAATCAACATTCTTCCACTCAACTGAAAGGAAATGGAAACTAATGTCCATGTTTAAAATCATGACATTAAAGAGTTAAAAGGCAACAGTAGATCATCCATATACGTTAAATAAGTAAAATCCATACACATTAATATAAATTGCCCAGACTGCACAGATAACTAGCACAATAGCCATACATAGATCCCAGAAGTTTGACTAATTCCATGAATGCTTGTTGTACTTCTCGTGAGTTTTGAAAACATTATTTATAACATGTTATGATTTGATAAAGGTGAGTAGCAAATACAAAGGTGGTATATATATACATCTCCATAATATTTAACATGTTTGAACTGTTTGGTATCAGAAGAAAAGTACAATTGAGCTGTAAAATTAAATATTTACACTATCTGAACAACATAGATATTGACAGCTAATGGATTCAAAGGCTATATGGCTTTTTAAATTATTGATCTATAAAAAAGGGTTGTTTTGCTCTCATTACAGATTGCCACCCAACAATGGATAAGAATCAAACAGCAGTGACTGAATTTTATTTTGTGGGCTTGACAGGCCATTTTCCAGACAAGATGATTCTCTTCTTGATATTTCTCTTTGTTTATCTTGTCACATTGGGAGCGAACTTGGGGATGGTTGCCCTTATCTGGACAGATTCTCGACTCCACACACCCATGTACTTTTTTCTCAGCCACTTGTCCCTTGTGGATATTGGCTCCTCTTCTTCCATTGCTCCGAAGTTGTTGTGGGACATATTTCTGGAGAGAAAAGTCATCTCCTTCATGGGTTGTGCTGTACAGATGTGGTTTTTTGGTCAGTTTGTAGTGACTGAGTGTTTCCTCCTGGCTGCCATGGCATATGATCGGTACATAGCCATCTGCAACCCTTTGTTGTACCCGGTCATCATGTCCCAGCGGGTTTGTGTGCAGCTGGTGGCAGGGCCTTATGCCATGGGCATTCTAAATGCCATTACTCAAGAGACTTCTACTTTTTGCTTACCTTTCTGTGGTCCAAATGTGGTCAACCACTTTTTCTGTGACATTCTCCCTGTTCTCTCCCTGGCATGTGCTGACACCCAGAACAATAGGTTGGTGCTTTTCATCATGGCTGGAGCTATTGTGTTCTTCAGTGGCATGATCATCACCATCTCCTATGTGTGCATCCTGGTGGCCATCCTGAAGATCCAGACTGCTGACGGGAGGCAGAAAGCTTTCTCCACATGTTCTTCTCACCTGACAGCCATCTGCATCCTGTATGGGACTCTTTTCTATATCTATGTTCTTCCTGAGTCAGGTTCCTCCCTAGATATCAATAAAGTGATTTCTCTATTTTATACTGTGGTCATCCCCATGCTGAACCCCCTCATCTACAGTGTGAGGAACAAGGAGGTAAAAAGTGCATTCAGGAGCAAGTTTGAAAGAAAAATGCAGTAATAGGATTCAATAATGGGTGGTAATTAGAGAGTTAGAAAATTCCTGAGTCTATCTATTATCAGGTTACTTGTATACTGTTTATGTTTCTTTCCATCAGGCTTGTCCTTTGTGAAATGATGCAGAATAAAAAAGAAAATGTAATTTATGCCAGAAGAAAATCCAGGAGAACTTTTATATATTCTTATATGTGGGAAGATATTTTATGTTATGTTATAAGGGAAAGATCAACATAGTTCATTAAGAAAGATTTCATAGGCCTTGTTAAATGTTGAACAATGGAAAGTGAGAGAAAAATGGCAAAACAAGTGACTCACAATGAGTTAATGTCCAAATAGGAAAGTTTTGGAATACATATATGAAACACAGTAGGAAAATGAAACACAGCTGAGGAATAAACCAAGAAATGAATGTCTAATTGACACAATTGGAAATAGTCCC